AGGGCCTGAAAATGGCCCTCCGTTTCAGGCTGAAAAGCCTCTGGGCCTGAAGGGCCCAGAAATAGGCTGAAAACGGAGTAGGGCCTGCAGGCCCTCGTTTTTCAGCTTTCAGGCTGAAACAACCGGGGCCTGTAAGCCCTAAGTTTTAGGCTTTTAGGCTGAAAGTGCGGGACGGGCCCTGCAGGGCCCGTGTGGCTACGCAGTATGCCACACCCCCCCCTCCTTGAAAGACCGAGCTTACCTGCGAGGGCGAAGCTGTCTGTCTGAGGGAGGGACCACAGTCCGGGTGGGAGGGGCAGGTCGTGGAGGTCCCTTGGCTAACCTTTGACGCTCATAGTGAGCATAGATCAGCGGTGCGGATGCTTTCAAATCTGCTCCTGAAATCCACCGAGTGTCGTCGGGATCGCATGCTCTGAATGTAACTTTGCACTGTCGCGGCTTGCTGCCGTACTTGCGATCCGAGATGACGCGGTCAACCTCCTGATGACCATCCATAGATGGAGGGTCCTGCGATCGTCGGCCCGGAAAGTCGTCGCTCTTAGCTGGTGTGTATGTTGCCAGCTTCGAGGCGTGAAAGACTGGATGGACCGTCAGATGCTCGGGAATGTTTCACACAAATGAAGGGCCATCGGGCTCATCGCCCGCGGCTGATGTCACAGACCATGGTCCAAACCACTTGGGAAGCAGTTTGCGTGAAACATCCTGTTCCAGTGCAAACTCTTCCGCGGAGACCCAAACCAGATCACCGGCGCGGATGGGACATGGTACGCGACGCCTGTTGGCTTGCTGCTGCATGCGGACTTGAGCCTTTTGCATGTTCGCGCGGGCTTGAGTCAGAAATTCCCTGTACTTCCGGACGAAAGCGGGAGAGCAAGCGGCGTCAATGTCGGCTGGTCGAGGGAGGAGAAGGTCGGCGAAGATCCGGACTTTCCGTCCACCGTGGTGCAACTCGAATGGAGTCACGCCGATCGCCGGGTGCACCGAAGTGTTGTACGCGAACTCGATGTCGGGGAGGCGGTCAACCCAATCTTTCTGGTCCGGACAGATGAGCGTACGAAGCATCATTTGAGCGGTTTGATGTGCCCGCTCCGTGTGCCCGTCTGTCTGTGGATGCCGAGCCGAACTTGGCTTCATCTTCGTGCCGGACTCCTGCATGAGAGCAGTCCAAAATGCCGACATGAAACGAGTGTCGCGGTCGCTGACTATGTCTTCTGGTACACCGTGGCCACAAATCCAACCGGTGTGCAGGAGGCGTGCCAGCTCGGGAGCCGTGGAGTAGTACTTGCAAGGAAGAAAACGCGCGTACTTACTCAATCGGTCCACGACCGTGAGAATGTCGTCGTGTCCGAGGCGGTCGCGGGGGAATCGTCCGGTGACATCCACGGCAATGGAGAGACCGGGTTCCTGCGGGATCGGCATCGGGCGCAGCTCGCCGTAGGGGTTGCGGTTGCGGGGTTTGTTTCGTCGGCAAACTTCGCAAGAGTCGCAATACCTCGTGACATCGGTGATGAGGTCGGGCCATTGGAATTGCTGTGGAAGCCGTGCAATAGTGCGGTTGACTCCGAAATGGTCGGCGAGTCGCGAATCATGATACTCGCCGAGGAGGCGAGTCCGAAGCCGGTGGTCGCATGGGACACATAGTAAGTCCTTGCCCCGCGAGTGCACGAGCAAGTACCCATTGGCGATGCGATAGTGGCTGGCCGGTGGGTGATCTGAAGATAGCTGTGCATATAGCGTGGCGAAATCTGGATCGGACTCGTAGCCCCTGATGAAGTGTCGCTGAAGCTCCTTGTCGAATGCGAAGGCATGATGTGTGATAGCGCAAAGATCACGTCTTCGCGAGAGTGCATCTGCTGCGCGATTGGAGAGGCCGGGAAGATGTTTCGGTGTGAAGTCAAATTGGTCGATGAAGTACATCCATCGTCCGATTGTGCTGCTCACCGTATCCTGCGTCTTGTAGTAGGTCAATGGATTGTTGCCCGTCACCCATGTGAACCTGCGACGCCCAAGGAGGAAGTGCCGCCATCGCTTGAGAGCCATGACGAATGCGAGCAGCTCCTTCTTTCTTGCATCATCAAGCGAGTTGATGGGAGGCACTTTGTGGCTGAAATACTCCAAAGGGTGCCAGTCGTCGCCGTCGTGCTGTTCCAAGACTGCCCCAATACCATATCCGGAAGCGTCCGTAGTCACTCTCGTCCGCAAGGTGGGGTCATAGATGCTGAGGACGGGTGCCATGAGCATAGCCGTCTTAAGTGCTTGGAATGATCGGCGTGCGTCGTCATCGAATACGAATGGCACCTTTGGCGATTGTAATCTCGTCATAGGTACAGCAATCCTTGAGTATCCGGTGATGAATCGCTGATAGTAGCCCGCCAATCCCATGTTGGAGGGCTCGGGCCATACTCGTAGGGCCTCGATCTTGTCCGCAAGCGGACGGATGCCTTGCGGCATCACATAATGTCCCAAGTACTCCAACTCCTGCCGTGCAAATTCGCACTTGTCGCGGTTGGCTTTGTACTTGGCTTGTCGTAGCCGCTCCAAAACGGTGCGCAGGTGTTCCACATGCTCCTCCAAACTCTGGCTGTACACCAGGATGTCGTCGAGGTAGATAAGTACGTATCGATCCAGCATCTGTCGGAACTCCGTTGTCATAGCCGCTTGGAAAGTGGTCGGGGCATTCGTAAGGCCAAATGGCATAACCAGCCATTCGAAATGCCCATATCGCGTCTTAAACGCGGTCTTGTAGCGATCCTCCTTGCAAATCTCAAGTTGGTGATATCCCGACTTGAGATCGAGCTTGGAGAAGAACTTGGCGCCGCCCAGTCGCTCGAGAAGATCGTAGATGCGTGGGAGAGGGCCGGTGTTTCTGATCGTCTGCGCGTTGAGCTTGCAATAATCGATGCACAACCACAAATCCTAATTCTTCTTCCGGACGAAGAGAACAGGAGCACCGTATGGCGATGAGCTAGGACGAATCCAGCCTTTCTCCAGAAGGTCGTCGAGTTGTGCCCGAAGCACACTTAACTCTTCCTCGCTCATTCGGTAGATGCAACCGCGTGGAGGTACGGCCCCGTCCTCGAGGATGATCTCGTGGCGGATGGGTCGATCCGGTACTACTCCGTGCGGGCCTTCGAACACGTCGTTGTAGGCGTCGAGAAGTTCGGTGATGCGTGGATCCGAAGATGAGTCCGTCGATGACGCGTCTTGGGGCGGGAGGGCGTGGAGAAAACACACCCCCATCTCCTCGATGTCATCTTTGATGATGGAAGCTCGCATGCTTGTGGCGGATACCACGTGACAGCTGACCGAAGGGTGAGGAGGAACTACCGTGCATGGGACTAGTACTCCGTTCCGATCACGAATGTGAACGGTGCGGCGGTAGAAGTTCACCGGGTGATCCTCGCTTCGCAGCCATGACATGCCCAAGATCATGTCGAATTTGGTGTCCAGAATGTCGAAGGACACCACCTCACTTGCGTGAGGGGCAAAGTACATTGGGACGTCGTCAATGCACCGGTCGATTGACTTGTGCGTGTGACCGTCCGCCAATGTGACTTGCGTGGGCTGGGACTTCCTTCGGACTCGTGGGCCAAGGCCGACGCGTACCATGAAGTCCTGACTCATGTAGTTGCGAGATGTTCCGCAATCAATCAAAGCTCTGCAGGTCGCCTCTCCGATCTGAACGCTTACATATAGCAATGGTGCGTCGATGTCGTCGTACCGTTGCGTCTTGAACTCACGGCCGATCTTCGCAATGTAGGCAGGAAGGTCGACAACCTCTACTCCGGCGTCCATCAACGGAGTCGGTACTGCAGTGTGCAAGTAATCTCGCAATTGTGCCTTGAGCACGTTGCAATGCGGTTTCGACAATCGACCGGAACGGGGCAGGGGTATCCATTGGAAGTCCTCAAAAGTCAACGGGTTGAGCTTTTCAAGTCTTGACCATGACTTTGAATCCCCGACGGTAGATGACGGCGAAGCTGCCGAATCGGTTGCCGATGGTGATGAAACCGTGCATGCGGTAGAGTGTTGCACGTGGAGCGGTTGGTCCAGCGGTGGGACCAAGTGGACARCATAATCCTCGTAAGTGTACCGAGGACTTGCGACATGCGCATCCTCCCCAGATGTGTAGGAGGCCGCTAGCAAGGCGGCCGAATCTGGCGGAGTGAGAGGTGGAGTCGCCTCACCTCCTGCGCAACTCAGTTTCCCGAGTTAAGACGAGGCCGCACATCCTCCTTGGCCTGATCCTGGTAAATGGAGGTCTTGTGCTTGGTGCTGTTGCACCAGTAACAGAAGCCGTAACCGTTGCGGTACTTGGCCTCGGTCAAGCCGAACTTGACCCATGGTGGTGCTGGCTGTCCGTTTCCGGCCTGCGATGCTGGTTTCGCCTTCCCGTTCACTCGGGGCTTGTTGCTTCGCGGCTGGACAACAGCCACCTGATCTCCCTCACGTGATGCTGGAGTGGCTGCTGGGTCTTCTCCACTGTCCGATTGGGCTGCAGCGAACTGCTGCTGTTGCGCACCAGTTCTTACCTTCTCCACATAGGTTGGCTGCCATGTTGACTTCTCGTGTGCAGCCGACCTGTTGGTCTTGATGATCTCCCTTGCCTTATCAATGATCTCAGCGAAGGTGGTGTATTGCTCGCGATCACCAAGTGCCTGGCTCAGTGCAGCACATGACCTGTTGTAGAACTCACGACGTAGATSYGTGAATGGTAAGTCCAGAYCGGGCACTGCSGCGATCTTYTGCCATTCCGTRAGCCAGTCCCGTGTTGYTGTGTTGCCCTGAGACATGGWGAAGAGACGGTTGATGGCTAGTGCTGGTGCGTCGTCGACGATGAACCGCTTCTTCCACAGCCGTGTCAACTCTTCCCATGTGATCTTGTCCTTCAGATCCGCGATGTCGACGCCGTGGGTGGCTGCCAGGTGAGTCAACCAGATTTGGCATCCGCCCTTTGAGTTCATGAACAGGGCGCCGATGTACACGTGCTTGGCGACAGGCAAAATCCAGTTGGCGGCTAGAGGGTGCACTGCTGGAAGCCCCAGCATTTGGTCCTGGTACAACCTGTTCCAGGTCCAGTACACGGGAATTGAGTGCCCGTGTTGCATCCTCGTGGCTCTGCACCATTCGGCGGAGGTTCGCCAACTCCTGGTGTTGTGTCTTCAGATCCTGGAACAGCTGTTGCAGTTCCTGGTTCTGTCTCTCCAACTCGGACCGTTAGTAGTTGCAAGCATACAACAACCATGTCACGAGTCTGGAGAGGAACTCCTTATGTTGCTCTTCCGGTGTTGCCTCGTCGCTGTTCGGTTCAAAGTGCCAGAACTTGAGTCTGTCGATGCTGGTGGCTTCATGCCGCTGCAGCAGATCCTGGGCATCTGCGTCTGCTACGGCCTGTAGCCACAGCTTCTCTGCTGTTGCCGCTGCTTCAGCCTGTAGCTGGGCAGCCTTGGCTGCCCGCTGGCGTTGTTCCTCAGCCTCGATGACAGCGAGCTGAGCCTGGAAACGCTGTTTGTAGTCGGCAATGGACTCGTTGGCCAGTTGGCCTGGCAGGCCCGTCATGTTGCTGACGTGGCACTGCTGGCGTGGCACTGTCTGACGTGGCACTGTGTCTGACGTGGCACTGTCTGACGTGGCACTGTGTCTGACGTGGCACTGCTGACGTGTCACTGTAGCTGACGTGTCACTGTTGACGTGGCCTGCTGACGTGTCACTGTGTCTG